CCGCCTTCACCCTCCCCACTGCTGTCGCATCGTATGGCGGCATGTAGCCCTGCGGTGGTCGTCATAGGGGGTTGACACAAACACACACACACATGGGCAATGCGCACACTTGTTGGTCTTTCTCCTTACCCCACTCCGCCTTCACCCTCCCCACTGCTGTCGCATCGTATGGCGGCATGTAGCCCTGCGGTGGTCGTCATAGGGGGTTGACACAAACACACACACACATGGGCAATGCGCACACTTGTTGGTCTTTCTCCTTACCCCACTCCGCCTTCACCCTCCCCACTGCTGTCGCATCGTATGGCGGCATGTAGCCCTGCGGTGGTCGTCATAGGGGGTTGACACAAACACACACACACATGGGCAATGCGCACACTTGTTGGTCTTTCTCCTTACCCCACTCCGCCTTCACCCTCCCCACTGCTGTCGCATCGTATGGCGGCATGTAGCCCTGCGGTGGTCGTCATAGGGGGTTGACACAAACACACACACACATGGGCAATGCGCACACTTGTTGGTCTTTCTCCTTACCCCACTCCGCCTTCACCCTCCCCACTGCTGTCGCATCGTATGGCGGCATGTAGCCCTGCGGTGGTCGTCATAGGGGGTTGACACAAACACACACACACATGGGCAATGCGCACACTTGTTGGTCTTTCTCCTTACCCCACTCCGCCTTCACCCTCCCCACTGCTGTCGCATCGTATGGCGGCATGTAGCCCTGCGGTGGTCGTCATAGGGGGTTGACACAAACACACACACACATGGGCAATGCGCACACTTGTTGGTCTTTCTCCTTACCCCACTCCGCCTTCACCCTCCCCACTGCTGTCGCATCGTATGGCGGCATGTAGCCCTGCGGTGGTCGTCATAGGGGGTTGACACAAACACACACACACATGGGCAATGCGCACACTTGTTGGTCTTTCTCCTTACCCCACTCCGCCTTCACCCTCCCCACTGCTGTCGCATCGTATGGCGGCATGTAGCCCTGCGGTGGTCGTCATAGGGGGTTGACACAAACACACACACACATGGGCAATGCGCACACTTGTTGGTCTTTCTCCTTACCCCACTCCGCCTTCACCCTCCCCACTGCTGTCGCATCGTATGGCGGCGGCATGTAGCCCTGCGGTGGTCGTCATAGGGGGTTGACACAAACACACACACACATGGGCAATGCGCACACTTGTTGGTCTTTCTCCTTACCCCACTCCGCCTTCACCCTCCCCACTGCTGTCGCATCGTATGGCGGCATGTAGCCCTGCGGTGGTCGTCATAGGGGGTTGACACAAACACACACACACATGGGCAATGCGCACACTTGTTGGTCTTTCTCCTTACCCCACTCCGCCTTCACCCTCCCCACTGCTGTCGCATCGTATGGCGGCGGCATGTAGCCCTGCGGTGGTCGTCATAGGGGGTTGACACAAACACACACACACATGGGCAATGCGCACACTTGTTGGTCTTTCTCCTTACCCCACTCCGCCTTCACCCTCCCCACTGCTGTCGCATCGTATGGCGGCATGTAGCCCTGCGGTGGTCGTCATAGGGGGTTGACACAAACACACACACACATGGGCAATGCGCACACTTGTTGGTCTTTCTCCTTACCCCACTCCGCCTTCACCCTCCCCACTGCTGTCGCATCGTATGGCGGCATGTAGCCCTGCGGTGGTCGTCATAGGGGGTTGACACAAACACACACACACATGGGCAATGCGCACACTTGTTGGTCTTTCTCCTTACCCCACTCCGCCTTCACCCTCCCCACTGCTGTCGCATCGTATGGCGGCGGCATGTAGCCCTGCGGTGGTCGTCATAGGGGGTTGACACAAACACACACACACATGGGCAATGCGCACACTTGTTGGTCTTTCTCCTTACCCCACTCCGCCTTCACCCTCCCCACTGCTGTCGCATCGTATGGCGGCATGTAGCCCTGCGGTGGTCGTCATAGGGGGTTGACACAAACACACACACACATGGGCAATGCGCACACTTGTTGGTCTTTCTCCTTACCCCACTCCGCCTTCACCCTCCCCACTGCTGTCGCATCGTATGGCGGCGGCATGTAGCCCTGCGGTGGTCGTCATAGGGGGTTGACACAAACACACACACACATGGGCAATGCGCACACTTGTTGGTCTTTCTCCTTACCCCACTCCGCCTTCACCCTCCCCACTGCTGTCGCATCGTATGGCGGCATGTAGCCCTGCGGTGGTCGTCATAGGGGGTTGACACAAACACACACACACATGGGCAATGCGCACACTTGTTGGTCTTTCTCCTTACCCCACTCCGCCTTCACCCTCCCCACTGCTGTCGCATCGTATGGCGGCGGCATGTAGCCCTGCGGTGGTCGTCATAGGGGGTTGACACAAACACACACACACATGGGCAATGCGCACACTTGTTGGTCTTTCTCCTTACCCCACTCCGCCTTCACCCTCCCCACTGCTGTCGCATCGTATGGCGGCATGTAGCCCTGCGGTGGTCGTCATAGGGGGTTGACACAAACACACACACACATGGGCAATGCGCACACTTGTTGGTCTTTCTCCTTACCCCACTCCGCCTTCACCCTCCCCACTGCTGTCGCATCGTATGGCGGCGGCATGTAGCCCTGCGGTGGTCGTCATAGGGGGTTGACACAAACACACACACACATGGGCAATGCGCACACTTGTTGGTCTTTCTCCTTACCCCACTCCGCCTTCACCCTCCCCACTGCTGTCGCATCGTATGGCGGCATGTAGCCCTGCGGTGGTCGTCATAGGGGGTTGACACAAACACACACACACATGGGCAATGCGCACACTTGTTGGTCTTTCTCCTTACCCCACTCCGCCTTCACCCTCCCCACTGCTGTCGCATCGTATGGCGGCGGCATGTAGCCCTGCGGTGGTCGTCATAGGGGGTTGACACAAACACACACACACATGGGCAATGCGCACACTTGTTGGTCTTTCTCCTTACCCCACTCCGCCTTCACCCTCCCCACTGCTGTCGCATCGTATGGCGGCATGTAGCCCTGCGGTGGTCGTCATAGGGGGTTGACACAAACACACACACACATGGGCAATGCGCACACTTGTTGGTCTTTCTCCTTACCCCACTCCGCCTTCACCCTCCCCACTGCTGTCGCATCGTATGGCGGCGGCATGTAGCCCTGCGGTGGTCGTCATAGGGGGTTGACACAAACACACACACACATGGGCAATGCGCACACTTGTTGGTCTTTCTCCTTACCCCACTCCGCCTTCACCCTCCCCACTGCTGTCGCATCGTATGGCGGCATGTAGCCCTGCGGTGGTCGTCATAGGGGGTTGACACAAACACACACACACATGGGCAATGCGCACACTTGTTGGTCTTTCTCCTTACCCCACTCCGCCTTCACCCTCCCCACTGCTGTCGCATCGTATGGCGGCGGCATGTAGCCCTGCGGTGGTCGTCATAGGGGGTTGACACAAACACACACACACATGGGCAATGCGCACACTTGTTGGTCTTTCTCCTTACCCCACTCCGCCTTCACCCTCCCCACTGCTGTCGCATCGTATGGCGGCATGTAGCCCTGCGGTGGTCGTCATAGGGGGTTGACACAAACACACACACACATGGGCAATGCGCACACTTGTTGGTCTTTCTCCTTACCCCACTCCGCCTTCACCCTCCCCACTGCTGTCGCATCGTATGGCGGCGGCATGTAGCCCTGCGGTGGTCGTCATAGGGGGTTGACACAAACACACACACACATGGGCAATGCGCACACTTGTTGGTCTTTCTCCTTACCCCACTCCGCCTTCACCCTCCCCACTGCTGTCGCATCGTATGGCGGCATGTAGCCCTGCGGTGGTCGTCATAGGGGGTTGACACAAACACACACACACATGGGCAATGCGCACACTTGTTGGTCTTTCTCCTTACCCCACTCCGCCTTCACCCTCCCCACTGCTGTCGCATCGTATGGCGGCATGTAGCCCTGCGGTGGTCGTCATAGGGGGTTGACACAAACACACACACACATGGGCAATGCGCACACTTGTTGGTCTTTCTCCTTACCCCACTCCGCCTTCACCCTCCCCACTGCTGTCGCATCGTATGGCGGCATGTAGCCCTGCGGTGGTCGTCATAGGGGGTTGACACAAACACACACACACATGGGCAATGCGCACACTTGTTGGTCTTTCTCCTTACCCCACTCCGCCTTCACCCTCCCCACTGGATGACGTTGGTCTTTGGGAGAACGATACGCGGCATATGCTTTTCGTTAAATGTACAAACGTTGAGATTTTTTTCCCCTGTCAACAAACGGACAATAATTTACTAATCCGTTCAAGCATAACAACTCTTATACTAGCAGAAATAGCTTTGATTAACACGTACATTAGCCTGCCAGACTTGATTACTCTAGTAAACTCCCCCTCTTCCCACCCCTCCCTCACTTCCCTTCTTCCTTAGTTAGTGCATTAGACCACTACTCCAGGGTAAGTGCACATGCTTTTTTTTGTGTGTTCCTCGCCACAGTTCAGCTCCATCATGGGTGAGAAGCTCGCACTGCCGCTGTCCATGTACCCATCCTTACCCACGGGACCGCCAAGCAGCCCAGCTCAATCCCTCGAAGCCCCTATCACTTGACATCAGAATCACATCACAGTAAGAGTTTTGCCACTGCTGCGCACCACACAACAACACCAGCATCTCCATCGCCATCTCCACGCACCCCACCCCACTCTTGAGAATTGCCAAAAGTGTCATCCCTATGTGCTAGCGCAGCACGGTGTCAGTCTGCAGCACACACCCACCGCATCGTCCACTCACAGCAGCACACCGCAACCCCACAGCACAAGCCTCTAAATCACCACACACTAGCGCAGCACACGGTGCCGCCAACCATCTTCCAGCAGGTGCCGGTCTGCAGCAGCACGTGTCGCCCACCCACAGCAGAACTGCAATCTTACCAAACAAGCCTCTAAATTTCCACCCCTCTACCGCAGCACAGTGCCGCCAACAATCTTCCAGCAGGTGCCGGTCTGCAGCAGCTCGTATCGCGCCGTGTATGTGCTTCTGTACGCATCGTTGTGGGTGGGGTCTGCTGCATCCACCAGCCGTGCTGCCTCCTGCACCACCGCCTCTACTACGGCCTTCTTCTCACCCTTGCTCACTGCTGCCATCTCCACCTGTGGGAGAGCACAGAGGGAGGAAGGGAGGAAGGGAACAAGGGAGCGAGGGTGGGAGGGCCATGAGTCGGGTCCGCTGCATCCACAAACCGCACTGCCTCCTGCACCACTGCTTCCACCACTGCCTTCTTCTGACACTTGCTCACTGCTGCCATCTCCACCTGTGGCCAAAGGAGGGAGTGAAGGAGGAACACAATGGAAGGGCAGTAAGACGGAGGCGAAACATGGACAAGCATCCACCGGGCAGCCGCGCCGTCTGGAAAGGCGCAAACACAGTTCAACTCACATTGACGCTGAGGAAGCTGTACTCCCAGAACCACCCATTCTTCTCCGCCTCCTTGGCTCTGTTCCGCCACAGCTCCAGCACGGACCCTCCAGGATCGAGTTTCGAGCCGTAACCCAGTACACTTCCCGTTCCGGCTTTAAAGCCTCAACTCACATTGAGGCTGAGGAAGCTGTACTCCTAGAACCACCCGTTGTTCTCCACCTCCTTGGCTCGGTTCCCCCACAGCTCCAGCATGGGCCCCTCCAGGATCGACTTTCGAGCCGTGTCAAGAGGAACAGAGACAACACAAGTCACATCAAGGTATAGAGACCTCTACTCACATTGAGGCTGAGGAAGCTGTACTCCCAGAACCACCCATTGTTCTCCACCTCCTTGGCTCTGTTGCGCCACAGCTCCAGCATGGGCCCCTCAAGGATCTCCCCCAGCCGATCCACCCGGTGTTGCGGACCTAGCGCTGCCGCCTTCACCTCCTGCCAATGCCTCACTACGCGCACCGCCCACTGCACCTCCTCCACTTCGGAATATTCCTCTGCTCCTGCTGTTGCTTCTGAAAGTATAGAGTGAGCAATAGCAGCACGAGGAGGAAAGAGTGGGGAAAGTGAGGGGTAAAGAGTGAGTGTGATCTGCAGGGTGTGACTGCCCCAGCGCTGCCGCCTTCACCTGCCAGTGCCGCACCACCCGCACTGCCCACTGCACCTCCTCCACCTCGCTGTACTCCTCTGCACCTGCTGCTACCTCTGACAGAAAAGAAGGAGGGCAAAAGAGGGACAGCGAACTGATGAGACGACAATCAGCCAGTGTCACGGATGAGAAGGGAGTGGGAGCAGAGAGAGGAGAGAGGGAGAGGAGAGTGAGTGAGAGTTGCGGAGAGGAGTGTGAGGAGCAACGACCAACCCCCCCGCCACCAAAGCACCTCGAACAGCATTGTGTCTTAAACACCACGTTGCCTGAAACAACCTTTTTACTCATCAGAGGCCGCCTGCTCCTTGCCCTCCCCCACCATCTCCCCCTCCACGCCCAACAGCAACCGCCCAAACTGCCCCGATCGCATGCGCCATGCCATGAACCCCAAACCGCAAACCTCAAGCCCAACAACCATACCCGCCTCAACCGCACTTTTGTGGGTAAAACAACCTTCTCACTCACCAGAGGCCGCCTGCTCCTTGCCCTGCGCCGCTTCCACCCCCAGCAGCGACAGCTCAAACCGCCCCGACCGCAACGACAACCCAAACCTCTGTGGATTAAACACCCTCCCACTCACCAGAAGTCGCCTGCTTCTTGGCCTGCTGCCCCACCATCGCCGCTTCCACTCCCAGCAGCGACGGGCCAAACCGCCCCGATCGCATGCGCCACGCCATGAACCCTCCCCTGCCACCACCTTGCCTCAAACAGCTGATGCACTCACCAGAAGCAGCCTGCTCTTTGCCCTGCTGCCCCACCATCGCCGCTTCCATGCCCAAACCACCCGATTGCATGCGCCATGCCATGAACCCTCCCCCCGCCACCACCACTGCCCCTCACACACCATCTGCACTCACCAGAATCAGCCTGCTCCTTCTGTCCCACCATCGCGGCTTCCATCCAAGCATCGACGGCCCGAACCGCCCCGACCGCATGCGCCACGCCATGAACCCTCCCCCCACCACCACCACCACTGTGTGTGGTTCAATGAGCATCGTGTCTCAGACACCACCTTGCCTGAAACACCCTCTCCACTCACCAGGAGTTGCCTGCTCCTTGCCCTGCTGCCCCACCATCGCCGCTTCCACTCCCAGCAGCGACGGTCCAAACCGTCCCGATCGCATGCGCCATGCCACGAACCCCCCCCCCGCCATCACCGCTGCCGCCACCACCCCTGCCACCACCATTCCCACCTTCCCGCCAAATCTACCCCTGCCACTGCTGCTCCCAGGTTCGGTCCCGGATATTCCCAAGGTGGGGAGGGATTCTGGTTGGGCGGTGCGGAGGGGGATGGGCGAGCCTTGGGGGTCGAGGAGGGGGGAAGGGCCAAAGAGCTCTCGTCTGGTGCGCGATCGCGCGAGCTCTGCTGGGGGGAGGGACGTGGACGGGTCTTGTAACGAGTCGTCTTGTAACGAATCGGTGGGCAAGGGCGGGGAAGGGGAGGAGGAGGAGGTGGTGGTAGTGGCTGATGTGGAAACGATGAAAGGATTTTCAGCTGCTGCTCCTGCTGCTGCTGCTGCTGCTGCTGCCCCTGCTGCATCACCCCCTCCCTGCATCCACGGAAACACCCCTCTAATCACCTCCATAGCAGTGTTCCGCATCCCGCCCCCCTCCCCTCTCCCAGTCTCCCCCACCTTCCCTCCCCCTCCTCCCCCCACACCCTGCGCCTGATCCCACGCATCCAAGAAACTCCCCACAGCAGGATGGTCAAAGTACTCAGAGAGAACAACAGAGAGGTGGGAGGTGTCTCTGAACCGCATGGCTACCACCTCCCTCAGCCACACCTCTAGGAGCCGGCACAGCCCTGGTAAAAGCACATCCTCCTCACCTGCCCCTGCTCCCGCTGCTGCTGCCGCTTTTGCTCCAGCTGCAGCCGTGGTGATTATGCTAGGGGCTGTGCTGCTACCTGTGCTGCTACCTGTTGTGCTGCTACCGCCTGCACTGCTGCTGCCGCCGTACCACGAGTCAACCGGGGGGGCATTAGGCGAGTTGGCATAGACATACTCGGCCACAGCAAGGTCGCCACAGGGAGGGGTCACATGCACGCCCAGCCACCGCTTGCATGCGCCCACCTGCCCCAGCAGCAGCGCGCACATCGCCCTCTCTACTGATAGATCCGCTGGCACGTCGGTTCCGGCTACCATCGCCATCGCACTCCCTGCTCCCCCCTGCACTCTCTCTCCTCCTGCTCCTGCTCCCCCTCCTGCTCCTCCTGCTGCTCTCCCTGCTATCACTTCTCCTGCCCCGCCCCCACCCCCCCCTGCCCCCGCTTCCTCCAATCCCCCCCCGCCACCTGTCCCCGCCGCCGCCCCGCCGCCCGCCTCCGCCATCCCGCCGCCCGTGCTCACGCTAACCAACAACCGGTACGCGGTGGACTCATTCAGCTCCTTCAGCAGCGCGTCAGACTGGACGATGTCGGCCGGGCGGCGCAGGAAGAAGCCGCGGCCGGCAAAGGCGAGTGCGACCCAGTAGGCCTCGAGGATGACGGCGTCGACGTGCGGCGGGGCGGCGGCGAAGTGGGCAATGAGCTCCGAGGTGGTGAGGCGCAGAAAGGCCTCCCGCATGAACACGTGGCGAGAGAAACCGCCCTGAGAGGCGAAGGAGAGAGCTCCATCTGGGCCTTGGGACCAGAGCAGGTCCCTCATGGCCTGGTGGGGGGAAAGAGGAAGGGGTGGGAAGGATGAAGTGGGAGACAAGTGGGCGATGAGCTCCGAGGTGGTGAGGCGCAGAAAGGCCTCCCGCATGAACACGTGGCGAGAGAAACCGCCCTGAGAGGCGAAGGAGAGAGCTCCATCTGGGCCTTGGGACCAGAGCAGGTCCCTCATGGCCTGGTGGGGGGAAAGAGGAAGGGGTGGGAAGGATGAAGTGGGAGACAAGTGGGCGATGAGCTCCGAGGTGGTGAGGCGCAGGAAGGCCTCCCGCATGAACACGTGGCGGGAGAAGCCGCCCTGGGAGGAAAAGGAGAGCGCTCCGTCTGGGTTTTGGGACCAGAGCAGGTCCCTCATGGCCTGGAAAGGGGAAGAAGAAGGGGGGAGAGGAAGGGGGAGACAAGTGGATTGGGTGGCAGCGAAGTGGGTGATGAGATGAGCTCTGCGGTGGTGAGGCGGAGAAAGGCCTCCCGCATGAACACGTGGCGAAAGAAGCCACCTTGGGAGGAAAAACGAGAGCGATCCATCTGAGTTTTGGAACCAAGAAAGGTCCCTCATGGCCTGGTGGGGGAAAGTGGAAGGAGACAAGTGGGAGATGAGCTGGGAAGGGGCAGCGCCAGCAGCTCGAGCACGCGAGTGGGGCCAATCGAGGGGAAGCACGAGCAGATTGCCGTAGCAGGAGTGCCGGGCCTACTGTCCATTACCAGTCGCACCCACGCACCCACCTGTATGCCCTCGCGCCTGCCCTCCTCGTGCTCCTTGTCAAGGGGCAGCGCCAGCAGCTCGAGCACGCGAGTGGGGCCAATCGAGGGGAAGCACGAGCAGATTGCCGTAGCAGGAGTGCCGGGCCTACTGTCCATTACCAGTCGCACCCACGCACCCACCTGTATGCCCTCGCGCCTGCCCTCCTCGTGCTCCTTGTCAAGGGGCAGCGCCAGCAGCTCGAGCACGCGAGTGGGGCCAATCGAGGGGAAGCACGAGCAGATTGTCGTAGCAGGAGTGCCGGGCCTACTGTCCATTACCAGTCGCACCCACGCACCCACCTGTATGCCCTCGCGCCTGCCCTCCTCGTGCTCCTTGTCAAGGGGCAGCGCCAGCAGCTCGAGCACGCGAGTGGGGCCAATCGAGGGGAAGCACGAGCAGATTGCCGTAGCAGGAGTGCCGGGCCTACTGTCCATTACCAGTCGCACCCACGCACCCACCTGTATGCCCTCGCGCCTGCCCTCCTCGTGCTCCTTGTCAAGGGGCAGCGCCAGCAGCTCGAGCAGGCGTGTGGGGCCCATCTCCTGCAGCGAGTCCTCTATCGCTGCCTGCAGGGACGGCGCCAGGCCTGGCCCGCCCTCATCCTGATACAGGAGAGATGGAGAGGGATGGGGGGGGAGAAAAGGTGGGTCAAACGATGGAGGGATAGTGTGGGAGTGTTGAATGGAAGAGCCACGAGGACAAGAGGAAGAAAAAAGAAGGTGCCAGCGAGTCGAGAGTGAGAAAAGAGCAGACAGAAGGAATGCAGAGCACAGGAACGGGCGGAACCAAAAGGATTGAGCAGACAAAAAGACATTGTTCGCCATCTTTGAGGTGAAATGCACACATTACCATCCAAACCCCAAACCCAAAACCCAAACCCCGTTTTTGAACCCTTCTCATCACACACAACCACCTGCAGAAGCTTCAGTGCAGCTTCCAACAGCTCGCAGCCCTGTGCCACTGCAGGCGGGTCCGCTGACATGGCGTCGCGCGATAGGTCTGAGTACGCCAACGCTGTGGCGAGCGCCACGTCAGCACGGAAAGCCGGATCGCCATCCGGGCGGGAGAGCAGGTCGAGGCCCGCCTCTGCCACGTCAGCAGAGCGGCCGGCTTCTTGCAACAGACACAGCACGCCAGGGACCTGGAATTGCAGAGAATAGAACAGCACTGTGTGTGGATATTGAACTGCAGATACGTAAATTTCCAAGTCCATTCGCTACACCTTGTGAGGAAACATAAGCTTTAACGACAGACACGCTCGTTGCAGCAGAGGCAGGGGGTTGGGGAGGGGAGGGGTACAAGTGATTTATGCAGCCAGAAAAGGCTGAACACAAACACACACACACACACACACACACACACACACACACACACTCACGCGCAAGCAAACAATCACACACACACAAACACACACCATTACCACCACCACTAACAGCAACAACAACTCACCCGGCTCATAGGAACATCAACCATGATCGCAGCCTCGCAGCCATACTCCCCTCCACCCCTCCCCACACCCCCCAACCCCTGCTGCTGCTCCGCTGCTGCTGCCTTCAGGTCCTCGTCATACTCTGCCCGGAGCTCCAGGTCAAGCAGCGTGTCCCGGGCAGCCTCCAAAACTTCCGCCCTGACCGTGAGGGCAGAGACGGTGAAGCCTTCTTGGGGCGGCGAGGCGAGCATGGAGTCAAGCATGAGGTCGATGGTGGCTGTGGGGGTCTCGGGGTGGACTCTCAGCACCTGGAAGGGAGGGATGAGGGACAGGACGGGGAAGAAGGGGATAGAGGGGGTTGGAAAGTCGACTCAGAGCACAGGCGAGGCGAGCATGAGGTCGATGGTGGCCGTTGGGGTTTCGGGGTGCACTCGAAGTACCTGGGTATACTTTCAGCTTCTCTAAGCAACAGGACCGTCGTACGCGGTACAAGCAGCATTCTGGCCATCAGTTTATGTGGTGAAAAAAAATGTAGCAGAGGCTATGAGCGTACGCAACCATGTGAGGCTGTAAGTGCTACAGCGGGTGTTATCAGGGTCAGAGGATGGACTTTCAGCGTCAATGCACAGTTTGTCTTCAGGGAATGAAACACAGTCAACAATTATGGAGCAGTTTGCCTCCGTACAAGCTACGTGCAAGCGGTTAACAATTACAGGCATCCATAAACACACAAGCCACTTTAATTTCTGCATTAAACTCTAATGCCGTACCTCGTAATAACTTATCGGAAGGCTCATAAACGGTTCGTCTCCTCCATTTTCGTCCGCGTCGTAAACGGACACCGTCGAATTGTTCGTTTCCGTCGCAACATCGCCTCCGACCCTTGCCCCATCCACGTCATCAGCGCCGGAATACGCGGCCGCCACGCGACAACGCCGACTAGGACCCTCGATTTGAGACTGGACTCGCCTCACATTGTGCAGCGCACTACAGGTGCCATTGGAATTTAAATTAGAGGTTAGAACGCTTCGCGACACTCGCTGTACCCCGCAACACCTGGAAGCTCTGAGAATGGTGCCTGCGGTGGTAGCGATGGTGGGTGCCTGAGCCTGATTATGGCCATGTGGCCTCTTATTTCGTTGCTGTTGCGAACGTATTAAAGCACTGAAGGAGTTATGGTCAGCAATGTTTTGATAATTACTAGGCTTTGAGGTGAGAGGGTGATTCGAGGGGAAAGTAGAATGCAACCTGGCAACCCGGGAGGCGGTCGCAATGCTAGTTCCTGCCATCCTGTTCTCAGCTAAGCCGTGAATCCTCCTGAAGAAATAAATACCGTATGTTTGTTTGTCAGTGTGAATCCCTGCTTCGCCCAAATTCTCGACGATCTGACCCTTACAAGCCGCTGCTTTCCCGAAACTAGATACCCGCCACTAGATCAACTGCCTAACTAAGATAAGTCTGCTAAACCGGAAAGCCAAGACTGAAGGAGTTTGATCCCAGTCCAGGTGCTTCATGTATTTTCGCGATAAGAGTGTGGAGTTTCTGCGTGGTTACCACGTGTTATGCGACCTGGAAGCTTTCGCGATGGTTCTGCTGCGAAGGTTTGGGCTTGGCGGGAAATTCGAAGTTCAGCAGCGCGAACAGATCGAGAGAGGTCGCTTGGGATTGGAGAAATTATGAGATGACTGACAGGGTTCCATTCCAACCTGCTAGAAGGTGGGTGGGGGTGGCTTGTGAGAGAGCGAAAAATACGGACGCCAACCAGGTGTAGATAGTACACCAACGCCTCAACCTGCTAAAGGACTTAGGATGCAAGGAAATTGAAACCTCCTTACCGTACCACATCAAAGCAATGTTTAGCTGGGCTGGCGCACAGTGCAATGAAACACGGCAGCGGGCTCTTGAGAACATCTGCAGCTATGTAATGGGTGAAGAACGGTCTAGGCACGGTGTTGCAGTGTGTACGCGTTGGAACCAGTTATGTGGTACCAGCCAGGGCCTGTGCTAGGATTTAGGGCACCCTGAGCCCTCAGGGCAACTTTTGAAAACTTTCTAAAATTCCCTGATTTTTCAGGGCAAAATTCCCTGGCCATCCTGAAATTTCAGGGCACAAGCAGAAATTCATATGGATGTTTCAGGGTAAAAATAGCAGGAGGGGAAGGCACGAGAGGAGCAGGTTGTCTAGTGGTTTCACTACAACTGGCTGAGCAAAAACGTTGGAGGCAGAGGGGTGGGGACAAAACTAGCACACACACCTCCCAGCCTCCTTCCTCCCCTCTCTCCCTCTCCCTGTCAGAATCCCAACCACTAGATCATTGGGATAAAAGGACTTGTTTGTGTAGCGGGTGAGTGCGCCCCAACCTCCCAGGCCAACGTGCCTGTAACGCTTTCCTAGGATCAACCGGGGATCATCAGTGGACCTTTGACACCCCCCCGCACTGGGATGCCCGAAGAGCACACATTGGGATTCGAACCCGAGACCTTCGCTCTAATATCATGTCAGAATCCCAGTCACTAGACCACTGGGATAAAAGGGCTTGTTCGTCTAGCGGGTTTGTGCGCCCATAATCCCCCAGGTGAACGCGCCTGTAACCCCCCGTAGGATCAATCGGGCATCCACAGTGCAGATCTACTGACACCCCCCCCACATTGGGAGGCACAGGACTGAGCATAGCGGCAGCGGCCTACATGTGCATACACCGGGATTCGAACCCGAGACCGCTCTGATACCATGTCAGAATCCCAACCACTAGACCATTGGGATAAAATGGCTTATTAAGTAGCGGGTTTGTGCGCCCATAACCCCCCAGGCGAACGCGCCTGTAATCCCCCTATGATCAATCGGGCATCCACAGTGCAGATCTACTGACACCCCCCCACACTGGGTGGCCCAGGACTGAGCACAGCGGCAACGACCTACATGTGCATACACCGGAATTCGAACCCGAGACCTTCGCTCTGATACCACCCTTCAACCCTTCTTCCCCTCCAACCCTTCTTCCCCTTCCCACGAGTCAGGGCATCCCTCTACATTCACCCTAACGCTTCAGGGCAAAAATTCGTTACCATTCTGAAATCCCTCTACCATTATTTGAGGGCTGGGAGTCTTATACGTGAATCATCCTGAGGTCACAGGGTGAATTTCAACGTCATTCTGAAATTCCAGGGCAAACTTTTAAAACACCATCCTGAAATCAGGGCAATCTGGATGTTTTGCCCTGATATCGTGGGCCTTGGTACCAGCAGGCCGACTCGAATTGGCAATACAAAAGATAAAGAAATATCTATGCTGATAGATTTTATTGTATTCATCTTTATAAGACTCCCAGCCCTCAAATAATTGTACAATTATTGGAGGGCCAGAATTACTGGAGTATAGAATTATTGGAGGGTAAGAATTATTGGCGGGTAGAATTGTTGGTGTGGCATTATTGGTGTGGATGGAGCCATCCTGAGGGGGTTAGCTGCTTAGATAAATACCCTGCTCTGTCATAATCAATCTATTCCATTGCAAAGCTTTCAGTTCTATTCTGTTATACAATCAAGGCTTCCGCTACGACGGCGCTATGCCTTTCTAGCATGGTATCAGGGCTACTCTAGGGGGCATGCTGCCGAAATTTGGTCAGAACTCTATCATCATTCACATTGGACAGGCACATTAGCAAATTTGCACAGCAAGTGGCAACATTTGATTGAAGGCATGGCACGGTTCGACGATGAAGTCGATGCTGGATACGAGGCGTTTGAAGAAGTAATCTTGGCTCAACATGAGCACCTGGAGAATATGATTGCAAGGGCACCACCGGCACTCCAAGCGTCATTAAGAGCAAAGTTCAACATGTCAGCCCAAGTTCGAGATTTCAGCACCCCATCCATCCGTGGACAGTCACATGCAAGCACTCCGCGTACTAACCAAATCCACGCTTCAAATATGGATGCAGGGATTGAAGGTGACGGAGAGGGAAGCTTACCCCAAGGAGGAGAGTCATCCCAAGGGAGGGATGCATCCTTCCAAGGAGAGGGGAGCTCCCACCCCGAACCTCAATCAACCATGCAAAGGGAAGCAACGGGGAGGGATGATGAGCACGGGAGTGGAAGGGATATGAGAGAGCATGGTGATGGGATTAGCGTGGGAAGAAACATGAGAGGGCAGATTGGTGAAGGGAGTGGTAGAAGCAGTCATGTGGGCATGGAAGGTGTGGAATTCGAATCCTACACTATTGGTGCTCCCCCACTACAACGACTTGCCACTAACTCCCATCCCATTGGAGTCCCCGTAATGGGCAGATATCACCTTTATGGCAACAACGTCGTGCCTCCCCGTGCGCCGCGGTCTCAAACGGGAGTTGTACCTGCAAGAAGCATTGGGCGCATGGGGCACGGGATGCAGTCAAGTGGAGTTATGCGACGTGACCAAGTGGAAGTGGTGGAACTTGAAGGCACACAATGCACGGTACAACTACCTCGACCATCTACCGTGCCTACGCTCTTCGACCCGTCTCCACGCGAGTACACCGAAGAAGACAAGGACAGGTTGTCACGCAAGATGGTGGGAGCAGCGGTGGACAAAGCGTTCACAACAACTCCGTTCGACGGCACTAACTTTCGAGAGTGGGCTCTTCGGTTTCGCATAAACGCGTGCGTGACAAATATGTGGGAGTTTTTTATGACGCTACAATACCCGGTTATAATGGCGAATGGAGAAATGCGAGATGTAATGGAACGGTTGGAAGTTCTGCAAGCAGATTACTGACAATGTGCTACGCTAGCCTTTTGGGTGCTTCTGCATAGCGTAAGCGCAACGATTCAGCTGCAGCTGGACGTGTTCCAAGAGTCATACAGTCCGGCATTCGAAGCATGGGAGTACCTGATGGAGACTTAATAGGCGAAGGATTCGGTAGCAAAGGCGTCTCTCCAGAGGCAATTTGACGACCTGAAGATGGGGAGCCAAGAAAGAGTGGAGGAATACATCAACCGAGCAACTGCAATTCAGGACAAGCTGGCAATGGCGGGAAAGATGGTGGATGAAGATCCGTTCACCTTAAATCTGATTACCGGGCTGCCGCCGCATTGGGAGGAGCTGAGGCATTCGGCAATGCTACACGACATTTCAGACAGATACACATTGCAGCGAATGATGATTCAAGAACAACGCCACCAAGACCGCATTAGCAAGACCAACCGTGACAAACGTCCTCCCCGCATGGTTGGCCAAGCACGTGGAGACAATTCACCAGCAAAAGAGAGGACCGAGACAAAGGCCAACCAGAGTGCGGCGAAGTCAACGGGAGGGCAGCACGCGACGGTTGGGGAGAAATTCAATGGCAATGAAAAAAGGGGAGGGCGCTCAAACCTTGTGTGTTGGTACTGCAAGGAATCTGGCCAGCCGTTCTACAAGTGTCCTAAGGTGCCTCCGGGTTGGTCACCACCAGGGTGGGAACCACAAAACAGAGGGAGGACAAACCAACGCATATGGAGTAGCCGTTCGTCCTCGCCTCGAAGGAGTGAAAGCCCCAAACGTGACAACCAAGCGTCAAAATAGCAAGGGGCAACCGGGGGAGACAGCAAACGCACCGTTACGTGCATTGCAACGGTTCGGTCGTCACAAACAATTTTACCGTCATCTGGAGGCTCGATGTGGTTGCTGGACAGCGGATGCTGCCAGCACATGACTTCAAAAAAAGGCTGGTTTGAGGGTCTAGAGGAGCTGGACGCACCTGTATACGTGGAGCTGACTGACGGCAGCCAACTGCTGAGTTCGATGGTGGGTACGATAAGAGCAACGGCGCCCGATGGA